GCAAATTTGATCGACCCTGAGATTGTAATTCATCATGACGACTAAGCAAAGTATTAGAAATTTTCATCGATTGAATATCAAGTTCATTCACTGCTTCGTAGTTAATACATGCAGTTCTAGCATCTTGAAAAGAACAGTTCGGCATTCTTAACAGCTCCTTTTCCAGACCTGGTATGTTAATTCCAGCAATTAACCGATCTCTCAACTGTACATGAAGCTGATCACCAAAATTGCATTTGGCAGCTTGTCTTTGCAATTCAAGGATGAAGTCTTTAACCTTCTGGTTATCCTGACGAATCATCTTATGAAATTTTGCTCTCTCACGACACTCAAAACTGGTGCACTTCACATGGTTTAATAGTAATTCCTTGAGAGTTGTATATGGGAGTGAAATCGGCTTATCTGGATATGCCAAGGTTTTTAATAAACTGTAGGCTTCTTGACCGATGAATGTAAGAAAATGTGCCACAATTTTGTCACCCTTCATATCTTTCTTGGTCATGCTCCATATCTCAAACCTTTCAAGGTAATCCTCACAAGCTTCAGAAGTTGAATGAATGTCCAACTGTTGTATCGCAGGCTCCATCGCGACGCCAATATGATAATTAGAAGTATTTGAATTGTAGTATGAACTAGTAATCCCAGGAATAACGCAATTTAATCAAGAAGTACCAGATGAACTCGAACGAATGTATTGTATTTGGAATTCAAAATTACAACAGTCATCAATACGAAGAAGTCATTGATTTATTTAAACATCACAGGAATCTTCAACATGATTCGGTCTAAATTAAGTCCATATAATGCTTTGTTTATACCATCATCTCAAGGCTAATATTTTCGGGGATGATAAACATTAGTGTGGTATATGCTCAGAGGTGGAATACTTTTGATCTTCCCTATACCCACATCTGGATGTTATACGCTGAATTGGCCCGTGTACAACAAAAATGGACAGCAAGATAACCCTAAACACAACCAGAAAAAATCAATAGAGAATGGTGGTTCTTGAACATATTCAGGGGCCAGATAATATAGAGCTGGAGGAATCAGTGAACGTTGAAAAATGTCTGAGAAACAACTGCTACCCACAGAAATTTATTAAAAATATAGAAAACCTAAAGAAAATAAGACGGAAAATAAGATATCAGAAGTGACAAGAGTCAAGTTTTATAGAGAATGATCCACGTCAGGCTATTTCTACACCAGCTTGTCAAATCTTTGATTCCATGTGAACCTACTTCATTGCTTAAAACCCCCCGATGTATGACCGAATCTCACATTGAATCAACAAAATTACCTGTTAAACGACTGAGGCCTTAAGCCAGTGCTTTTGATAAAGTGGTTAGTGATTTAAATGTCGTATGAGAGACTTTATTCACGATCTTCAAATTAAGGTTTACAAGGATATCAATAAATCTCTATCGAGAACTCTGATAAGAGGACAATTATGTTTAGGGTTTCCGGAAAACCCTTCAAAGTTTTACTGTAACTTTTGAAATATGAAGCTTAATAATATAGTGATGATGCAACGGATATTCTAGTTTTACAACTAGATACCAGTAGCACCTTCTAAATTCGATTGTTCCCAGTCAGATAGAAATCAGAAGTCAGACGAGAAGAGGCAGGAAAGATATATTTGATTCGTTACCAATATATCGAGGACCTTTTCTATGAGCTGGCTAATGAAACGTAGGAGCTGTGTCCCACGCCGTTTTGAAACGTGATCTGGTGCGGATGCATGACCGAAAGCCTTCAGCTAAACAAGTCCACTTAAACAACGTGGTCAGCATCCAATGTCGAACACTTAATGAGCTATTGATTTTGGGGAATTATTTACAGCTACAATAGAACTAGAAGCCTTATCATTGGGACTCAAATTTCACCAAAAACAAGCACTGACAAGAGTGATATAGAAGCTCAGTTTGAAAATCTGTTCGATGAGTTTAAATATTTGCATCCAATGAATGAGCAAAAGAAGTGGTGGCTCAATTCAAAGTTAGTTGATATTGCTAACCAATATTCCGTTTCATCGACACCAAAGTCGAATATCCTACCCAAGACACATCTGACAGCCTTAATAAACATTAGACGAGATAACAGGGTGGCGATCTTACGACAGGATAAAAGTTCAGGTGTTGTCCTGATGAATATAACCAATTATATCACCAGGCTGAAGTCAATCCTTGAAGACTAACTGATATTCAAGGTAGATAAATCCAATAAAGATTTAACTGATATAACGTAAAAATGAATCACAGGAATGCCTAGAGATCTTTTAAAAGGAATAATGATTACTAACTCTACTTACAATGAACTAAGACCACGCGTCTCACGTCTGCCTCATATATATGGTTTGCCAAAAGTCTACTAGGTCCAGTTATGGAAGATCTTTTATGGGGTACCTTGAGAACACAGTGCCTAAACAAAAGGTTGGAGTGACGACTGAATACTTCAGATATATTGATGATATCTTTATTGTTTGCAATAGTAAACAACATGCAATCCACCTGTTAGAAATGTTCAATAATTCTCATGCTAACATACAATTTATTATGGAACGCGGACGGAATGACATGTTCCACCTTCTCGATATTACCATAAAACGTAGGAGAGACGGGAAAATCTAAAGTTCTGCTTATCGAAAAGGTACTTGAAATGGCCTTTACCTGACTCTCAACAGTTTTTGTTCAACCAGTTACAAGGAAGCATTGGTTAAAACACTCTTTTATAGGGTAGAAAGGATATGTACCGCAGACAAACTGGAAGAATTTGTGAACGTTGAAAAATGTCTGAGAGACAACTGCTACCCACAGAAATTTATTAAAAATATAGAAAACCTAAAGAAAACAAGACCGAAGTGATCATAGTCAATGAAAAATCAATATCTATAAATCTTAACTTCAAAGGAGATGAAGTCGCAAGCTCAACCAGCAGGAGGTCTAACCCTGCTTTACCCAAAACTTAACCGGCAGCCAAACCGTAAACTCTGTATAAAACAACATGTTCAACAACACAGTCAAATGTCGAGAAAACATCCCTTTCGTATTACCACCAACTGTGTTTATAAATTGATGTATACCTGCTGAAATAGCTACATCGGCCGAATAGAAAGAAAGACATATCTTAGATTTTTTGAGCACCTTCCGAAAAGCTTTAGAGCAAGAGAAAGAACGACTTTAAACAGTGCAGTTGCCAAACATCTCTTGGACAAAGGACGTAAGATCGATTACTAAACAGCAGAACCCCAGTCTTTAGAATTTTACTGATGCCGTTACAATCATGAGTCAGAAACCTGATTTATGTGTTCAAAAGGAGATGTTTATCAGTCTTTCATTGCCTTGATGACAAATATAATTCCGGTTTATCTTAAAAGATTTTTTAAACTCTTTCTTGAATTTACTATTTCAATGAGTTCTTTATTTTGACTGTCTTCTAGGTCGGTAATCTTATTATGTTAACTGAGCTTTACTCATTTTATTCCCACTAACATTCACTCATCACGTAATCACTTGTTTCTGGCCGCATGAACTGTCGTCCTAATCACTGTTGCAGAGCTTTCTTTCACATGAAGTATATATTTACAATATTAAGTTTATTAAATTTACGCCCTTGCTATACCATACTGTGTCTTCAACATGACTTCTGACCAACCTATTTCATGTAAGTTATTTAGACTTAAATGATTTGAATGGTTGTGGACGAAATGGAAGAAGCTTTCGCTTAGTGGGATTCCGCATCTAGTAGCAGTGGATCACTAGTACCTCCATGCAGGAACCTACTTACTTTAATGATAATAAAAGAAATCGCTTGGACTAGATCAGTCGGCAGCGAATTCCAGTATTTGACAACTTTCACGGAGTAGAAAGCGTATCTACAGTCTGTTCTGTTATATTGTGTCTCCAGTTTCTTGATATTATACTTTTGCTTTGTGTTATGGATAAACTTAAGTAGGTGTTTAAGGGGATGTCCAGAAGTGTTAGGGATACTGTAAGCCATTAGAAGGTCACCTCTAGGATGCCTATACTCTAAACGGTAAAGGTTAAGTGAATGGAAAAGCTCTTTATAATGTATGAATTTGAGTCCTCAAACTGATTTCATGGCTCGCCGTTGAATATGCTCCAAAATGTCCTTATCCTTTTGGAGTGAGGCAGGAAAAAAATACTGTTTCCGTACTCTAAATTAGGACGAATAAAACTGTTGAACATTACGTGGAAATTTCTGCCGTCAAACTGACTGAAAACGCACTTCAATGCTACCAGTGCAAGGTTTGCTGGGAAGGCATTTTTGTCACAGTTAGCGTAAGACTTCAGATCATAAGGTACCAGCATTCCTAAATCTTTTTCAACTTCGGATACTTCTAGAGGTAAGTTGCCAAAGTTGTAACTGAAGTCTGCAACTTTGAAGTGTTTAAGGTGAGTCGGTTGTCATCTTCTCATCTTTGAAGTCGAATCATATCCTCCTGAAGTGCCAGTATATCCTCTTGGTTGCGTATTTCTCTCCGAAGTTTCACATAATCGGCAAAAATTAATATGCCTGAAGATGCCTGTTCTGGAAGATCGTTTATATAGATCAGGCAGAGAAAAGTTCCTGGTACTTAGCCCTAGGGGATAACACTAGGACATTCTATAGCCTGGGAGAAAGTGAAGTTAACCCTGACCCTAAAATGTACTTTTTAAGATATGAAGTGAACCAGTTAATTGGAGGTGGTTTTGTAATTATGTTTTAAATATCATAGGTTGTAAGCAGCTGTCAAAAGTCAAACGAAATAAAGTAAACTCATGCGATTCTGCCGGAATCTTTGTTTCAGCTCTCTTCAAAATAGAAAAAAGAGTTATTAAAATTAACAGTGATGCCTGATATTGGACTTGATATTATCTCTTGAGGATGATTGTTAATTGTAATTAAATGGGACAAAGTGTGGGGTAGCATAGGCCAGATTATTCGCATGAAACCTGGTACTGAAATCAAACAGTGGATGAGTTATATCGAGTTTGTTTGAATCAACTGAAATGACATTCGTCAACCGGTACACAATTTCGGAAAGTTACTGGCTTGTGGATGTTTATGTGGTGGTGTGTAATACCTATTGTCCTGCTTTCGGTATGTGTTTTGAAGTTTGATTTAACAGATAGAGTCGTTTATATATGTCTTATGTACTAGTGACCTTTTGCAGTGTAAAACATGTAAAGAAATAAAATATATCTATGTTCAAGCCCATACGTCATAGTAACTCGGTTTAAACAATTTACATCAAAAAGGAAGATGTTGAGCGTTCCGAAACTGATTTTCACTGTCTATAGACGTTCATTTCTGTATGAAATTTTATTTTAATATAGACAGGATAGTACTGCTTGTTCATATTATTCTACTCTTCAACAAGCGTTGTAAACCAATTGCTTAACTTGATAATTTTCCATTTTCGGAAACTAATTTCTATGAATATGGAGACAATACTTATCTTCTTTTAAGTCTGTGGCGAGACTATAGTTCATGGACGACCTTTGGACGAATTTTAAGTGACCTTGACCAATATTTACCAGTCAGTCAACAGTCAGTATAGTGTAGAAATATATCATGAAAAACCAAAGAATTAAAGCGAATGAACTGTTATTACATGGTCCAAAAACTTGCCAAGGTTAAAAAGAGGTTTAAAGGTTCTAAAAGGTGGTGAAACTCGTCCATATGACTCCATAATAGTTAGTCTCTGGAGCCAAGATAAAGTCTCGTAAACTCTCAGCCTCGACCACATGGCTTCAATCTTGTTTGTATGTACTCCGTTTGTGTGTCATTTTTTATTGCGCATATATCCTCACAATACTCACAACACTGAACAGCCGAAGCTTCCATAACATCTGCGATTACTGCAGCCAATGTTACTGGTGCTCGCAATTATTATAATTTATTTATTTATTTAAACACATATATATTGGTACAAAAGGGCACTGGATACATATGCGCCACACAAAATAATGAAAATAGCAAGTGAAGGGATGAAAAGATAAGGCGGACTGAAATGTACAACCAGAAAACTCTTTCAGTTAGGAAAGTTAGAACCATTCTTTATGTAGAAAGTAAAAAAAGGTTGCAGCAGGATCGCCACTGGCTTCTATTCTGAGCCATATCTGATAACATCTCTAGCCACTGTGTTGCACCATCTCTCGGACCCCAGCCAGGGAGTCGTGAAGGACCAACGGAAGCTAGCCCTTTACAGCTTTCTTTCATGCCACGACACCATGTCATACACTGACCTCCTCTCCTCTTTTTCCAACCAGTCCCAGGGTCGGCAAATAATGCACGATGTGGAAGTCTCTGGGACGACATTCGTAAAACATGTCCAAGCCACCGATGTCGGTGTTTCAAGATGGTGACACCAATTGAATTATCATCCCTGCGCCCGAACACACGATGCCAAACCTCTGCATTACTAACATGGTGTTGCCACTGGATGTCAGCAATCCTTCGGAGACAACGATGATCGAACACAGAGAGTCGTCTAACATCCTCAACTCGGAAAGGCCAGGTTTCACAAGCATAGAGCAAAACTGCTCTCACCGACGCGTTGTAGATCCGACCTTTTACAAATGAAATGATGAACTCTATTGTATTATAATTTGCCTTAGTCTCAATCTGTATCAAGCGAAAAACGTTCCTATTCTAGTAAACGTCGTCCTCCAACATATTTTGAATCGAAGGACGACATCACGGTAGTCTGTACAAGGTCTACACGTCACATGATAACCGCAATTACCAATAAAGTTACTTCTTAGTAGTCCCATTTCCTGTAGCCGCTTAATTGTCACGTCTTCCATAAAATCCTCTGTGAACCGACCTTTACATGAGCATCAGGTAGTGAAATTGGTGCCGTGACCTTGCAATCCCCATACGTATATGACTGACTCGTCCATAAATTATGGTCTTATCATAATTATTTAGTGTCAAGGTCAACGAAATCACATGTAAAAATATAACATATTTCCTTTCTGATGTGTGCACTAATGCTTTCGGTAGTTTGTTTTTATCAACTTTGAATAAGATTATGAGAGTTCAATCAAACTTATCTACACTGAGTGGGTCTACTTTTAGTACCCTTTTATTTAGACATAGACAGGTGAAATAAAAATAGAAGCACGTGCTATTTCTTCGTACTCTGTTTATTTTGTCTACAGAGGTCTCTAAAGATTTTAAACTTGTAGATTGAATGTATACAGATAAAACACCTTAGATCCTGTTCAAGGTCGGAGTTTCTGTTCAGTACCGTTAAGACAAATGTTCTTGTGCACATAATGACCACTATGTTTTACACTTAATTTTTAAGTTTGCCAGTCAGTCGTAAATAACCTATAACCTGGAAAAATTCTTCACCATTAGTCCTGATGATCATGATGTCGCAAGTGGTGAAAGTTCCCATCCTCAAGAATACAAACAGTGCTTTAAAATTAGTAAAAATATAAAGCCAAACCAGGTTCTTTGAGGTCACAACACACATATCAAGACGAGTTGTTGTCTATCAAACGCGAGTAGTTAGTCCTAATTATAAAAAATTGTTAAACACCTAAGGTTATGGCTAGGATCAGGATTTATTACTTGAAACTAGAATTTTGAATCTGGGATTAGTGTAACATATAGGCCAACCGTAAAACTTAATCTGAATATCAAGCCATAACAGTAAATCCTAAATTGGGATCTTATTTCCGAATTTGGGTTTATGTTTATATCTAGTCACTCATGTTTGTTCTTTTCCAATTTACTAAATTCGGTCAGGGGCTTGTCAAGGTCATCTAAGAAGTTATTCAAGCTCACCCTTGTTAATGTTTACCTGATGCACATTATGCCATTCCTTTGGTTAACAGATAATCATTTCACCTACACCACAAGTAAAGGAAGCTAGCTAAAGTTTAACAAACTTTCTAAATTCGTACCGAGATATCATCATACATTAGTCCATCAAAGCTGATGAGACTTCCAAGATAAGTGAAGTATTTAACATACTCAACCACCTCACTCCGTACCATCAATTTAGCAAATGATTCAGACCAATCCTAAAACATCTTAGGTTGAGAATAAGAGGAAGGCATTATTTTGATACCTCAAAATAAAACTATATGATCTGCATGTCCTAAGTTAATAAAAAACCTCCTGGTAGGAGATCAGTCACTAAAAAGTTGGATGAAAAAAGGAATTCTTTGGAGGACATCGATGAAAAAGTTGTGGGATGGTAAATAATCCTGACAAACTACTTGAGGTTGACAGTTCTGATGGCGTTCCATCATAAATTTTAATTTAAACCATAGTGTCTAAGTAAAAAGCATTCAGAAGGTTTATGTACTTCTTTCCTAGGCCTTTTAGTGTAAAAAGATTTGCCACGGAACGCTAGTCAAAGGTCAAGAAATATAATTATAATGGATTCCCTTAGTTTGGTGTTCCCAAGCTCAAAGTTCCTTCTACTAAGACTGGTTTGGCCATCGGGGTGGTATCACTTATACAAGCAGTTCAAAGTTGAGTGCATTAACCTGTACTTAATTGATAAGCTACATATAGATAAGGGAAATATAATTAATCACATTCATTCTATATTAATGACAACCCCTCATCTTTTGATTTGTTCTCTGTTTACAATTTCATCCAGAATGCACCTGATTACTGTGCATCAGTTGTTTTGGTTGCAAATGATACTAACTTCGACTTACTAATATGTAAGTACTTGTCGTTTTCAATTAACTCACTCTTGTTTTGTTACATATCAGCTCAATATGATGTAGCATTACTGAAATTCTCAGCAGAATGGTGTTATTATAGCCAAATTTTAGCACCAATCTATGAACATGCCTCGGAGAAGGTTACTGAATTGACGAAAGTAGTTTTCTCATAAAGAGTTTGATAGATTTCTCTTCTATTGTTTAGAGTCGTAAAGTTGCTTTTATCTCAATAGACTGTGAAAGTAATCGTAAGTTGCACGATTTCCTTTATTAATTACTTTATTTTCACTGATTACCTTCATCTTTACATATTTAGATGTCAGGGAGGTAACTTGAGTATGTCTGTACGAAACGTTTAATTACTTTGGTGTCAAAAATAACTTTTCGATGTAAAAAAGGAGATCCGTAGGCTATGATGATCAAATAGGCTTGTTCGAAAAACTAACTGCATACGATAAAACAACTGAGTGTATAACTCCAATGTTAGGCGTAATTTACTAGGTAAACAAGGTAGATTAATAAATGTTTATCTGCTAAGGTGGTTAGGATGTTACACAAATCACTACCCACCTCAGTGTAATATGCTGACTGAGAAAGGAATCCTATTGATCAACAACATTCACATCAATCCTTGACACCGATCATCGACGTCATTAACACTGACTATATTAATCAACCCTCAAACAGTAGATAGAATAGATCTTGAACCTGGAACCCTCTAGTTTAACCTCAAGTACTTTTTGCCATTAAGCTTCATAGCTCATTAGCCATAAACTTTGTAATTGATACTATTACCTAGTTTAATTGGCTTTTTATTTCTGAATTCCATTTATTCTGTCACTTTTAAATATGTAATTAGCAGCAATGATTGTTTACTGCTTTACCCAACCAAGTAAAATATATTGTGTGAACTAGATCCGTTGGTATATTCTATTCATTCAACTAACTACTTCCCATTTCAGCGATTGGGTAGCCATTAGTTCTCATCTTAAAATTTACAATTTGTTGAGTACAGCATGTTATGTGACAACGTTTACAATGACAAAAATGTTTGAGCTACACGTTGCTCATTGTCTTTCAAAAGTAATACTGTACTTGGTGGTTGTTTTGTCTTTTGTCGTTGTTGTTTTGTGATTTATGTTTACACATAAATATCCTATTTTACAACGGCGGTTTCTTCTTAACTTCCCCTCTCCTCTAATTGCTTAGAAAATCTATGCGCCAAACAGTATATCCGTAAATATCCTACAATTAAAATAACAAAATATGGTAAAATACTAAAAAGTGAATATCGTGATGAAAGAAGTGTGGAGGCATTTGTTAAATTTATTGAAGCTAACCTAAAGTTTCCGGTTGAAATTATCAATGGTCATCGGGCTAACCCGGAAAAATTTTTGGATGTAAGCATTAATACTATAAATTTTGTTCTTTTCAACTTACATAATAATTTCTACTGTAATATTTAAAGTCCTTCTGAACTCTTAATAATAGTCTTGAGTTGTGGTGTAAATTGAAGTATAAGTAAGACAGTTGCTTAATGGTCAAATTAAACTGTGTTGTTAAAAAACTCAAGTTTCAATCCTTGAACTCGAATTCCACTGTTTATACTTCGGTCTCAGTAGCCTGTTTATATATATACCCCTTAAACAAGTTGTAGTCAAAAGCTGAGTCTATATACATGTAATTGATAAATGTTATATATTATTATCATTATTACTATTATTATTATGCCATTACATAGTGATCAAACTATTTTCAACCACTGAGTTACATATGTAAACCTCAATTCAGATAATTTGACTTAAGCATTCAAATAAGATTGTTAATTCATATCTGGTTATATGAGTTCGGTTATATTTCGATTGAAATGGGACACTATAACTCAGTGACCAGGCATGACTTCGTGATTTATGCATTGGATTAAAATAAACATTATTATGTGATTAAACGTAGTTTTGAGCTATCTGGATTAATGTGTACTCGATTAAGATTTCCCTTGTCTATTTATTAACTGAGAATGTTGTATTTAAGCCCATTGAATCATCAAAATAATACCGGTCGCTGTTAATTTTGATAAATTTTTAAAGGTTTTCATAAGCTCTAATTCATCTGTAATCAAATAACTCAACATCATCGATAATCTCAAAATATATTATATTATCCTATGCTTCCCTAGTAAAAATATTAACGGTTAACCGTAAAATGCTAAACATATGTGACGTTTGATTCTCCAAACAATTTCGATTTGAACTTGACTCCAACCAACCAGTGTTGTTTACGACTTTGGTGTAGAGAAGAAAAAATTTATTTTATTTATTATTTATTTAAACACATAAATATTGGTACAAGGAAGCACCAGATAAGTATGCGCCTCACAAATCTCACTCGATTTGTGTGAGGGCTGTGATACTCCTCAGGTACCCAGACTGAAGCAGGTGGTTTTGTGAGGGGGCCACACCCGGAGCCTTTGACCGAAAGATCTGATCCACAAGGCAGTGGAGCATCGTGAGGAGATGCAGTCCCATGGTAGCCGGCGACCAACAGTTGGTTCATACGCCATTCGTTCCTTTGGGATACTGGAGCCCATGTGCATCATTGGTTTGGAATCAGGGTTTTCCAACTCCCCTAGGTGGACACTCCACATCCAACAACCCGGTTAAAGCGCCGGACATTCGCTTTTCGTCCTCTCAATTTCGTAAACAAAAGTAATGCCAAGAGAAGGCAGTGAGTAGGACTTCCCTGGCAGAGGCTATATATTCGCTGGCCATGTGAGAGCATTTCGAGATGGAGAGCGGACTCTCCCCACTCTCGGCCATACCAGGGCATTTGGGGGCTGTGGAAAAATACGTAGTCAATATTAAGCCTTTATTGTTCACCGTTATGTCCATATCTGTTTGTTCTTTCATGTAATCCACACTATTTAATGAGATGATCATGTTATTTTACATTGTCTCTTTTTTGTACCACATTGTTTACATAAAAAATAAAGTCAGTCCCTTTGTAGGATCTGTAATATCACAATCGGCACGTTTAGGTGTGCTGTCGAAGGTTCATCTGTCGTAACTATCATTTGTTCTTTCTTAAGATATTTTGAACCGAAAACGATCTGGTCTTCCGCTAAAAATCTAGGTGTCTTTAAACAATATCCAGTATTCATAGCGATAAATATGTTGAAAGCTATTGTCACCACAAAGTGTTGGCTGTACTTACTTTGAGAATATAATATTTGTTATATAATTTTCCTATTTAGTTCGTGGACTTATATAATAAGCGATAATCCAACTTGATTATCCGATTTTAAACGGATTGATAAAAAAAGTAATACGATAATGATAAATTGTTTCCTCCAATGATATCGTCATTTTAAATAATTGGTTGATGTAGACTTGCATAGTCATTCAGTCCTTAAAAATATATATTCACCCATCAAGCTTAAATTCAAAATGTGAACTTGAGCTTCAAATTTAAGTTCTATCTTTAGATCTTGTGGGTTTATGATAGTCTTTTCAAACGACATCACATGATTATAAATTTTCGTCATCAACTAGTATGAGACTTCGTCTTCTGAAGCCGTTCTATTGCCTTGTGGATTAAACATTTAAGTTAAAGACTCGGTGAATATCCACCTAAAACAATAATCTACTTCAGTATGGACACTTAGACAGTAGTCCAGTTTATATACAAATTTCTTTTCCGTACCTGGAGATACCTGAATAGGAAATTGGGTTAGAAGTAGTCTTAATGACCTGAGAGTGTGACCGCAGTACCCAAGGGACAACTGCTTGAGATCGGTCACACACGACATTTTTGTGGGTAGTTTTTGTGTTAGCTCCGTACTTGTTGGGATCTTACCGCCGGAGACGGATATCTGTGGGATAAGGCAAGGTGTGCATTTTTAGGGTCCACCTTTTCTAACCCTACCCTTCCTTGTGGGAAGGCAGCATCGCTGTTATGCTGGTTGTCTGAAGGAAACACCTTACTGCCGTAACACCTCTGTACAGTCAGCAGTACGACTTCACCTTCGGACCTTGGGATTTCTGCTTTTAGTCTCACCGCTCTTCAACCGACCTGCCTGGCATGGTAGGACCTTGAGGAACGATTGTTCCAGCCGGTATAGCTCGATTGGTTCATCACGATAGGTAAGCCTGATCACCACGTCAAGGTAGCAGCAACGGTCGGCAACTTGGACCAATGCATATATGTGCCTTGTCCTACATTGTAGCTGACTGACTGACTCTTTTCCGTACCACACATTACTTTTGATTCTCAATTGTACTAGATTTTATATGGAATAAAAAAATCATAAATTACACGTAAAGAAATATAATAAAGATTCGGTATATATATATATGTACTTGTTTACTGACTTATATCGACTTGTCACTTAGTTTTTAAGCTGTAAATATTATCCTTTCTTTTTCAACATCTCTAAAAAATAAATACCCCTATTTTTTGTTGCATACAGAGTTGGGTAAATAAAAATGTTGAGACGAAATGTATATTGGCTTTGGTTGATCAGTTAAATACTTCTCATATGGATTTATTTAAAAAAGTCGCTGCTATTGAACAAAATTCATGTAAATTTTACATAAATTATAAGTAAGTTTTTTATTGATAGTATCCTCTATTTTCCTGTTTTTTTTTCTTATTTCTTTCATTCAAATTTATACATTTCAATGAGTATAAATTCATTAATTATGTTCATTGGTTATTGATATTAGGTCATGTTTTGATGTTTAAAATTGTTTTTTATTGATGTTATTCTTAACATCTTGTATCTGTATGTATTTTCTAGTTAATAGTGTTATGGACTTTAGCCACTAGCTAGTAGTAGCTATTTGAACTCACTAGGTCGATAGATAACGCTAGAGAGTTTAAAGTTAAAGGTACTGGGTTCGAGTTCCGGTATTATTATCAACATTGGGATAAGATGAATATATCCAGCTGATAGACCCTAAATAGAACGAAATGCATACGCTGGACTCCAGTCCTATCCATTATTCGACTTTAAGTCCTTATTGAATGTTCGTTAAATATTTGTAATCTTTAGTTGGAAGCTTTAAGTAATGTGACTTAAAATAGACTGTTTTGGCACAAAAGTTAGTTGTTAATATTATTCTATATTTTCCTCTTAACTAATTTATATATTATGGTGTTTATTATCATTTTGTTTAATTCGTCACTATCATTAATATAATTACTTTGATGCCTTGGGTTCTTGTTCTCAGTATATCTCTCTCATTGTGCTTATATGATATACATCAATTTAGGCTGATCCAAAGTCTACAATTGATTGATTGTCATGGTGGATAACTGTTAACACTGGATTTCAGTCAGTCAGCTACAACGTAGGACCAGGCACACATATGCTTCGGTCCAAGTTGCCATACCTCGTTAGCACAACAAGATGAACACCGGATTCATAGAAATAGTTAATTTAGTGGTGGTAGTATATAAAAGATAGGTTGTATATAAGGATATAGTATAGGAAGGAAGAACGTTATGAAGCAATTTTAATCTTAAGGTTTAAGGGAAAATAAAGAGTGTATGCACCTACGCCATTGTGATCGATTCTGAGCCATGTCACACAGAGTCTCCAACCATTGGTTACGATAGTCACGCGGACCCCAACCAGGTAGTCTGCATCTACCAACATGGCTCATACTAGAAGTTAGTGACTTCAAGGAATGATGCCACGCTTTGGTTTGGCCGCCCTTAACTCTTTTCCAACCATCCCCTACACTATTCAGCATAGCGCGTCGTGGTAATCGGTGTTCAGGCATACGTAACACGTGGCCTAACCATCTCAGTCGATGAAGATTCATCACCTCATCAACTGATTTACCATCATTTCCTAATACCCTGTGTCTAACCTCACTATTACTTACCCGGTGACCAGAGCAGATGCGAGCAATATTTCTAAGGCATCTGTGGTCAAATACTAGTAACCTACGAGTATCTTCTACTCTTAATGGCCACGTTTCACAGCCGTAAAGTAGAACAGAGCGAACTGCTGTGCAGTATACTCGTTCCTTAATTGATAGACGGATATCTCATCTTCGCCATAGGTGACGTAAGTTGGCAAAAGCCAAACGAGCTTTTTGAATCCGTGTTGAGATTTCGTCAGACACCAACCCATTAGGGCTGATCAGACTTCCAAGATAAGTGAAGTTGTCGACGCGTTCGACTACTTCACTCCCTATCCTTAGTTCAGGTGTTGACGCAGGCCAGTCCTGGAGTAACAATTTACATTTAGATGAGGAGAAACTCATCCCAAACATCCTGGATGTACAAGTTTTATTCTGCATAATTCTTTACGGCTCCCGCATAATCCTTCTCTTTTTTCTGATATTGTGTTATAACAATGCAAAAGAATTTGAATCTCTATGAGAATTTTCATTATACAATATTACCGCAATATTCATTTTATTCTTAGTGTCCAATTTGATGTTTAAATTATCTTCTGACAGTTTTTCTATAGAGTTTCTCCATTAAGTGTGATTGGGATGGTATTCTCCGTGTTGTATTTGAGGATCTTGGTTTTTCCCTTGTGTATATTGAGGCCTACTGATGCAGAGGCTGTTGCTACACTGGTTGTCTTGACATGTATTTGTTCATATGTGTGGGATAAGTTTAGGTCATATGTGAAGCCCAAATCGTCTTGTTGCATGCAAGCTGTCCATTGTATTCTGTGCTTCCCCTCAGATGTGGAGGTCTTCATAGTTACGTCACTCATCAGAAGAGAGAAAAGACATCATCGAAGCTCATTGATTTCTACACATGCAAACCTCACATCACTCTTAACAGGCTAGCGCAGATAACTTCCACGTCAAAGAAGTTTGGTTTGAGGATTAGACTCTAAGTGTGCACTGAAGACACTGATATGAAGCTTCTTGATTGCTACTTGTGACTAGAACAGAGTGAACTTTCATTATTTATCTCTTTCACTTATTTCCACCAACCGGTTCTTAAACGGCCACCAATAATCAATGAATTTCAAAACTGAATGCATTTCTTTATAAAATAATCGTACAAATAAAATTGTGTGTCACTTAAGCCTGAACAATATCTATCTATGGTTCTGTACTCTTGCCCCCAAATGCCCTGGTATGGCTGAGAGTGGGGAGAATCCGCTCTCCCTCTCGAAATACTCTCACATGGCCATGCGTAATATAGCCTCTGCCAGGGAAGTCCTACTCACTGCCTTCTCTTGGCATTACTGTTGTTTACGAAATTGAGAGGACGAAAAGCGAATGTCCGGCGCTTTAACCGGGTTGTTGGATGTGGAGTGTCCACCTAGGGGAGTTGGAAACCCCGGATTCCAAACTAGTGGCGCACATGGGCTCCAGTATCCTGAAGGAACAAATGGCGTATGAACCAACTGTTGGTCACCGGCTACCATGGGACTGCATCTCCTTACGATGCTCCACTGCCTTGTGGATCAGATCTTTCGGTCAAAGGCTCCGGGTGTGACCCCCTAAAAAAACCATCTGTTTCGGTTTGGGCAGCTGGATAGTATCACAGCCCTCACACAAATCTCATTTGATTTGTGCGGTGCATATGTATTTAGTGCCCCTTTGTACCAATATTTATGTGTATAAATAAAAAATAAAAATGATTCTGTACTCTACTATAATTGACATTAAGAATTAAAATCAGAATAGAAATATGTTAATATACAGGTAACATTCAAATCACTGATGAGTGGATTAAATCCATATCATGGATTCTAAGGTCAATAATCATCGGTTCATTATGTGTATGATGATACCGATTGTTATTAATTAATAACAAACCAACAACAAAAACGCAGACTATCAATGTATACATTTTTTTTCTGATAAAAAAGAAAAGTACTCAACACTTTCTGTGATAAAATTGTATAAACTAAGTTTTTATTTACGTGCACACATACACATATACAAATAGAGCATAGAAAACTATTGTTGACCTCAAAGTTGAATTTATTAACAAAACAAGAAAGTTCTATTATTATTATTAGTATTATTATTACTGCTACTATTACTACCACTACCGCTACTACTACTATTACTACTACTACTACTACTACTACTACTACTACTACTACTACTACTACTACCACCACCACTACTAGTACTATTACTACTACTACTACTACTACCACTACTACTACTATTACTACTACCACCACCACTATTACTACTACTACTACTACCACTAATACTACTACTACTACTACCACCACTACTACTACTACTAATGATAATAATATATCTAGTCGGTCAAAAAGTAAAAAATATGAAATAATTTAATTATAATTTCTTTTCCTTTTATTTATATATTTTGAATTTTCTTTTGTAATTACTTGGATTATTGTGTACCATATAAATAATGTATATATACTACTATATTTAGTACTCTGTTATACCAGATTAAATAAGAAACTAATTAATAATGTAGTGAACAAAAACAACCAATTGTATTTCAATACAAAATTACAGAACGTCTTAGTAAAATCTGACGATCATACAGTACATACTTCATTTGCAAAATGTTAATTAATTGTTTCAGATTTCATTGTTCCTTCATTTTCACACCAGTCATTCTGTGTTCTCGTTCTCTTCTCATCGATCTTCTTAACCTTCCGTCGCCAGGTATTTCACTTTCATTTGATGATACATAATACTTATATCTGTCGACATCAGTAGCACACACAACAATAGATTAAAGTATATTGATTGATGAATAAATGTTTGAACTGAATCTCTGCTTACATTGTTTATTTAATAATTATTTTATTAAAACATTTTAGTAACAATTAAATGGTTAAATTCTTCAAAAACCTTTTCATTATAGCGGTATTTTATTTTTCAATGTTATTTGTTGGCAGTTGTATTACACAATTATCTACAAGTGATTACAGGTAATTGTTAGAAATGATTCTAAAATCAACCCCATAGTTTATATCTGTTAATTGAAAGTGTTTGTAAAATAATGTCTTGGTGTTTTACAAAATATGGCCAAGCTCAGATCGTTATATATTGAATAATCCATTTTTTAATCAATCAATAATAGACGGAATTTGAGAAAAGTCTAGAAAGAAACTAATTAATAAATATATTGCAAGTGGTAACTGTCTAATTGATTTGTTACATTTACACTATTCTATTCATTTGTCAATTTCGAGTCGATTAGATAGTGTTTCAAATGAATCTAATCAATTATCATTATTGTATTCAGATAAATCAAAACAAAACCTCTAAGGTTTGAACTTGTCGTCAATGTTTTTGGGTGTGTATCCGGTTTACGTTATTTGATTAATTCACAAGAACTGAATTGAATTAGGTTCCGGTAATCGACTACAGTATCATAACACTAAATTGATTGCTCAGTGTTTAGGGATTTTGACTCCCAGCTACTGAGTTCTAGGTTGTAATCCCACTTCACGTATTTTAGTTTGATCACTTAATTAGTATCACTAGCCTTCACACACACTTGGTGACTTGAAACCGAGTTTAGTAATCTGTACCTGGCAAGTGAGTTAATAAAAATTTTTCCGCTAAACCAGACAGTATTAGCCCGTAACGACGATCTTAATAATAAGGTTATAGTTAAAA